GGCGGCGCCTCTAAGCTGCAGGAGGCCATCAAGTGCGGCGGCCTCGCCGCCGTCAAGAGCAAGGTCATCCTCGGCATCCTCGAGCAGGCCAAGGCCAGGTACGGCGCCTACTCGCTCGACCACATGTTCGACAAGACGGACGAAGAGGCCATGCGCGAGCTCATCGGCTTCCAGGGCGTCGGGCCCAAGACGGCGAGCTGCGTGCTGCTATTCTGTCTCCGGCGCGAGAGCTTTGCCGTCGACACGCACGTGTGGCGCATCACGGGCCTCTTGGGGTGGCGTCCGAAGACCGCCAGTCGCGACGAGACGTATGCCCACCTCGACGTGCGCATCCCGGACGAGGACAAGTACGGCCTGCACATCCTGCTGGTGAAGCACGGCAAGGTGTGCGACGAGTGCAAGGCTGGCGGTAAAGACCCTGGGCAAGTGTCTGCTGAGAAACGTCCTTCCTGGGACAAGGACGACGGTGTCGCTGGCGCTTCTCTGAGTTGCCCGACGAAGACGACGATGAGAACGGTGCCGTGAAAGAAGAGACGAAAGACAAAGTCAAGGAGGAAGCGAAGGACGAAGATGAAGAATCTTAAGTCGAGAAATCCGATTGTCAAATCGCAGGGCAGATGCTGTACACTAATGCAAAATGAGCGTTTCTCCCACGACATTGTCATACGTATATCAATGATGTATCAAGTCTAGTATCCAACTACCTAGGGTATTACTCATTAAAGGATTGTAAGAAGCAGAACTCCAGTTCGCGACCTGGAAAAAAGGACGCCGAAACCCAAGTACGCCAAAAGTGCCCCCGAAGGTTATGTGCCGTCTATCCGTGTATATTCCGTCTACCGCGCCAGCCTGTTCCCACGTCCCCCGCAACGCGTTCACCCTCACCCCCCTCCTCACCCCCCTCCTCACCAGGTAAACTTCATTAGCGCCGGGTTCAGCAGTACGGGCAGCGCAAAGTGGCAAATGGTCACAGACGCCAGCGGATAGATGGAGGCGAACGTCTTGATCTGCCACTCGCGCGGGAAGAAGAAGTAGCCCGTGACGAGCAGGCCCGTCATGAGGAAGCAGAAGAGGAACGTGCCCCAGAAGCTCTTGATGATCTTGGGGATCTCCTCGACGAAATTGCAGTGCTCAACCTCTTTCGACGTCGCGCCCCACTGGATGTTGATCTCAAAGAAGTGGCAGAGCAAGGCTTTCGAGACGTGCAGCGAGATGCCGCCGAGGAAGATGGAGAAGAGCGGGATCCATTTGAAATTGTTCCACACTGGGAACTGTTAGTCAATGATTCTCGTTGCGAAAGCTTTTACGAGAAGAAAAGACTTACGCGCAGGCAGGAAGGACTGTTCGCCGAGGCGGTACCGCAGTACGGCCAGGGCAATGTTTCCGGCGAGAGGGAACACGATGATGATCGAGAAGTAGATGGCGAAGGAGTCGAGGTAGTATTTGTCGTAGAAGCCAAACAACCAGCCAGTCAGGAAATAGTTCATGAGCGTCAGGATCCACGAGGCACCAATGGCGTAGTAGGTGCCGATGTAGCCCATGATGGTGATCTTGCGGTAGAAGGCGATGTTGGACATGAGGAACCTCCTGAAGAGGGGTGTGAAAGGCCCTCGCACGAACCACAAACGGAAGGGGTGGAAGAGGAGCTCATTGACACCGAAAGCATACTTCTCCCATCGAGCCAACTCGTCGTACACTGTCAGGGAGACACCCTCCTTAAAGCCTTCACCAGGATATGTGCCGAACCGGAGAGAGTAGCCGGCGGTCTGCAGGCGGAGTGCCATGTCAAAGTCTTCCGAGACGTGCGACTCGGACCAGAACTTCTCGTAGCCGTCCTCGTCAGTGTAAGAACCAGCATCCTGGATGGCAGACCATCGAAGAACTGCGTTGTGGCCCACGAAGGGCGGGATGTCTCCATTGGCAACGGCAAACTTGATGCTTGTGTAAATGAGTTGAGTGAACCAGGTGACGCTGTGTGTCATGTTAGCTCAATTCGGCTTCTCGTAGGAGAGGAAAATACTCACGCTCGCTCGAAGAATGACTCGGTCACGTTCATGACACCGGAAGAGTACTGCAGAATGGCAATCTCAGGCGACGCATCCATCTCACTGACAGCGTCGAGCAGGCAATCCCTGGGGACACGCGTATCCGAGTCAATGAGCAGCACGTAGTCGCCGACGCGCACATTGCCTTCGGCCCACGTCCGACCCTCGTCTTCCTGCAAGACCTGCGCCAGGGCCTGCGTGTAGACGCGATCCTCGGACTCTTGGCTCCAGGAGTCGCCCCTCGTGATGCCCTTCAGCTTCTCCTCGATGCGGTTGCTCACCATGAGACAGTAGTTCATGTTCGAGGCCTTCTTGAAGCGACCCCGACGCAGGAACGGCTTGACCGACTCATCTTCGGGCTTGGGATTATGGGCTGGCCGGCTGACCCAGCCGATGTTGTGCTCCTCGTAGAACTCCTTGCGACCGAGTGCCTCGTCAGCGGAGAGGAGCTGCATGCCGTCGTCGTTGACGAAAATGTTGGCCGTCCCGCCCTGAAGCTCGTAGGTCGAGATGGCGGCCTTGAGGGAAATGACAGTCGGACGAATGACGGGCGCGAGGCTCTCCTTGTACACAGGCATCTGGATCGTGATGTGGGGGAGGTCCTGAAGCTCGCGGTTCAGACGGCGCGGGGGCTGTCCAGAATAGTTCTTGGAGTTGGAGGTGAGGGACGAAATAGGACCGATGATCTGGAAGATGTCGCAGATGATGATGAGGAAGAAGAACTAAGAAGAGTCAGAAAGCCATCACTCCTGCCATCAATCCTGCTGTCAATCGGGACACACGTACCAGACTGATAAACATGGTCAGGGGGGAGACGGCGACCAGTGCCAAGCGTTTAAAGTCTCCATCGACCATGGTTTGTAGCGCGAGTGACCTCCATCCGAGACCGAGACAGACCACCGAGAGTCCCAAAGTCATCCCGACGATGACGGGGCTCGTCAGTCGGACTGGCCTGTCCTCGGTCTTGCCCTCCTCAAGGCTGGAGGGTGTAATCTCATCGACAGTCACCTCGGCGGGACTGGCCTTCTCGTCGTCGCCACTCTCCTCGTCACCGCCGTCCTGCCAGATATACCGAATGAGGTTCTTTTCCAGGCCCTCGGCGCGCTCCAAAATGTGGTCGGCCTCGTCATCCCAAACCACCAGCAGGGGCGGCTCCAGCACGAATGCCGCAAACTGATGCTTGTGGCAGCGAGGCAGGTCTGAAATCTTGGCGAGCACCTGCAGGCGCAGACCGTCCATGAGCGGGATGTACGGCAGGCTGCCAGAGCTGAGGACTCCGCGAATGATGGAGTGAATGACTGGTGTGTTCATGGTAATCGCACACTACACTGTCAATTGAAGGCCTCCGGTCATGAGCGGTGAGGGTACTTACGCTGACGTTGAGCTGGCAGACCAGGTCGAACAGGCCATTCCGAACATTGCGAATGTCTGCTGGGGCGCAGACAAAATCATTGCGGCCCTTCTTGAGAATCGCGCCCTCCCAGGGACTGAGGCTGGTCGCGTACAATCTCCTCAGCTGGTCCTGCCAGAGGCTGTGAACTGTGACGTCGGCCCTGAGGTCGCCGCAGTTGCTGTACCGGCCCAGGGTGTTGATCGAATGCTGTGTGCCGAGACCCGAGGGCGCCAGCGACGAGGTTCTCCTGACACCGACAGACGATGAGTCTGAGTGGGCTTGTCCATGCTTGGTCTTCTTCTTCTCAGACTTCTCTCCCTTGACGTCCTGCAGAGCAGTGTCCTTCTGCTTTGCTGGTGCAAAGTAGCTCTTGAAGGCCTTCATGGTGGGTGATCTGCGCAGGGGGTATGTGGGCGAGAGAGCTGCAAGGAAGTTGGAGGTGCGCCAGAAGGAGATGAGCAACTGTATGGACCTGTCAGGCGGAGCCAAGAGCGACAGGCGGGCTTGCAGGAGACGACAAGGAAAAAAGAGAGAGGACAAGGAGGGGGGAACTTAGAAGGAGGAGAGGGATACCAGGTCACAGATATCCTGCAGCAAGACGGCTGCAGTAGGAGCAACAAGCTCGTGCGGTCAGGCGTCGCGAGTCTAGATTCCAATATGAAATCTTTGGGGGTTCAGCTTCCAGCGCGTGGGTCGGCCGGTCAAGCTCGATGCCGACTGCATCGACATGGAGCTATCGAGTGATACGAGGGGGTAGCGCCCTCTCGGGCGTCTCCGTTGCCTTGACGTCCGTCTCATCCAGCCAGCCTGTGCAGTCAGGCTGAACCCAAGATGGCAACCTAAGTAGGGGGTCACCCATGCTGAATCGAGCGTCTGCGGCAGAAGAAGGTGAAGCGAGCTCCGAAAGAGGGTAGCTGTTGATGTGCTGGCGGCGCCACCAGGCATGGTCAATGGGACTCAATGGGAGCAGAACCCATTGGACCAGAGCTTGGGAGCCGGGGGTAGACGTAGGTCAGCCCGGCGGTGATGTGCCTGGCGGAGGCGTTTGCGTCAAAGAAAGTCAGAGTTGTGTTATCTGCTGTCAGGCTAGGTCATGTCGTTCAGGGAATGTGAGGCTGCCGCCACAGGGGTGAGAAAGGGTGCTATGGCGGCCTGGCAAATACGGCACTAGACGCAGGCCCCTAAATGGCTGACGGGTGTATGGGAAGAGTCGACCTTGGCATGAAGCCTCCGACTTGGCGCGCGCATGGGTGTGTTAAAGCGACAGGATGCCTTGCGGTGCTGCTGCGGCCACGGAGTGTGGTGATGTTTACGGGAAACGGGCGAGGCCAGGCCGGATCGACGCGGAAGGTGACAGGGTATGGTGCATGTACCGGCGGAGGGCTGGGGTGGTATGTGTATGTACGTCCGGACAGGCCATGTTGGTCGGCAGTATCGGCCACCTGCCTAGGCAAAGCAACTGTTCATCGGTCTCATCTGCAATGTCCTGAGGGCTGGTCTGATCGCGGAGACATGCATCCTGCCGATGGTCTATTAAGCTCGGTGAATGGAAATATTTCTTAGCGAGATCCCTCTTTGTAGGTTGCTATTAACAGGCGACTTCTGGACAAAGGAACGGTGTTGACATCGTCGAGACTAGGCAGTCAAGGGAGAATGAACAAAGGTGCCCATCACAACAATCAACGTCGAATAGCTGACGGTCTAGCTCAGGTAAGGCAAGGCAGGTACCCTGTATCTAAAAGATGTTGTCGTCTCTCATATCTGCAGCCACTGGCGAAGGGGCAGTAGGAATCCATGATACAGATAGGAGATAGATGGGATCGACAGGAACAATACTGACGCGCTAGGTGAGTTGTTTGCCCTGCACAACCTCGCCTTGCCATGTCCGACTGGGTAAGGTGCCCAAGGTACCACAAACAAAGATAGGCGGGTACCCATGTCAGGCAAGGTATCGATCGAGGTAGGTGGCTCAATTCTAGCTCGTCCCGTCCTTTGGCCAGCTGAGCAACAGGGAGAAACGGTTCCTTGGCAGAAAGACGAGAAGAAAGCTTCAGAAAAGTAATCTTGCAGACACGATGTGCTGCGAA